GGCCAACCCCTTCCAAACCCGAGAATCATAAGGAGGGGGTTGCACGCCATTATGTTAAGAAGTAGGACTGTGACTGCGTATGCACCGCAGAAGAGTGCCAAGAAGTTGAACCAAATCACCCCGAGCCGAAAGAAGACCTGGTGATGGAAAAGGAGCCAGAGGCTCAAGCTCCAAAGCCACAACTAGTAGTGGCTGAATATAAGCCTAAGCTCCCTTTTCCGACCAGGATGTACAAAGAAAGGCTGGAGGCAGAGTTCGGCAACTTCTCGTCCATGCTTAGGAAGTTGCATGTCCAAGTGCCCTTCATGGAGGCACTATCTATGATGCCTAAGTACGCGAATTTCCTGTAGGAGATTCTCTCGAAGAAGCGGAGGCTGAGTGAGCTGGCCACTGTGGAGCTCAGCGAGGAGTGCTCGGCCATTCTGCAGAACAAGCTTCCGCAGAAGCAAAAGGACCCGGGTAGTTTTACTATCCTGTGCTCTATAGGTAAATTGCATGTAGAGAGGTCCTTGGCGGATCTAGGTGCTAGTATTAATGTAATACCATATAAATTTTTCAAGAAACTAGGCCTAGGTGAACCCAGTGCAACTAGGATGAGTATTCAACTAGCTGACCGATCTATAGTGAATCCTAGGTGCATAGTGGAAGACCTTCTGGTTAAGGTTGGCATATTCTTCTATCCTGTGGATTTTGTTGTCTTGGACATCAATGAAGACACAGAAGTGTCTCTTATACTGGGAAGGCCTTTCCTAAACACCACCAAGGCTCTCATAGATGTACATGATGAGACCTAGTCTTGAGGGATGGGGAGGAGCAAATAACATTTTCCATTGCTAATACTCTCCCTGCTTCATCGCCTTTGCAAGTTGTTTCTCACCAGGAGCAAGAGTCTGTCGTGTATCCTTCTGTGCTTCCCATTTTGCAGGACCCCCTCCCATATCTTCGCCGCCACTCCCGTCCACTCCATTCCCAAAAGAAAAGATCAAGGAAGAGTGGTGGTCGAAGCTGCAGGTATCCAAGCCTGCTCAAAAGAAAGCCAGAGACCACTATGAGCTAGTCCCGCCTCCTGAGCCATGACCGCCTTGGCCATCCGAGTATTCACTGGCTTGCATCCTTCCGGATGGCCAGGTCGAGTTGACGAGTGTTGGTGGTCACACCCGTCGTGTCCATGGCCACCATCTGATGCTGTACCTTAAGAGCGATGTGGATCCGCTCTTGGAGGCACCTGTTTCTACGCCTCCCTGAGCATCCACCCTACTGGCTTCCAGCTAAAAGACGGTAAAGAAGCGCTTGTGGGGAGGCAATCCCACCACGGTTTGCATTTATGTCCTTTCCCCTTTTCTCTTTTGTCGGTTTTTGAGTCTTTGAGTCCGTCAAGTGTCTATCTGGAATGTATTTCGTGCCCTGAATGGTCTGTTTTTGTCTATGGTGGTGTTTATTTTCGAGCCGGGGGCACGAATGGGTTTGGTTGTCCGACAATGCGGTTTAAAATTTTTGACAGTGGGCTCTCGACAGTGCAATTACGGGCAAGGGGGACTCAATTACGGTCGTATTTCCTTGTCCCCCTGCCCGTATTTCAGTCAGAAACAAGGGAGAAGCCTCGGCGGTGTAATTACGAGCAGGATCAGACCAAATACGGTCGTAATCGTGCCCGTAATTGGTTCAGAGAGATTGGTTCGCCCTCCAATCACTGTTCCTGATCACCATTTCATGGTAACATCGTTCCCCTTCCCTCTGCTCCATTGAGAGCAATGTCGAACTTAAGTGGGGGGGGGGGGGGGTGCTTTGTATTTTTTGGAACGTATATATGTGTGCTTGGAGCCTAGTCCACTATCCAAATCTTGAGATTTGAGGGCTCCAAGTACTGCTGTTTGCTGGATCGTATTGGCATTGTGGGTTTAATTGGTGAATCGAATGGCTTTCGAATTAATGCATGACAACTGGATTGTGACTAGGACAACCTATAATGATGACTGAGACGTGTAGTAGAATTGGGTAGGGGTTCAGTTTTTCAACAGTTTGCTTACCAACTGTGACTTGGTTTGATCACTTGCTCTTGACAGTCGTTTATGCATCTAGTTTAGGGAATCAAAATGAAAGATAGAGCATATAGGTAGCCGTGTGAGATTTGAGCCTGCTCGTTTCTTTCTTGTGCGATAGATCCCTCTTCCATGATGTGTAGCATTCACGTTGTCATTAGCTAAGATGATGGAGGCATAGGAATAGCCCACGACCAAATTGACTGTCCTGGTGTGTCATACCCCCTAGTCAGCTCCTTTGAGCCGCGTCACTTTCTTTCTTTCAGTTTATAATGGAAAATCACCCTTTTGCATCTCTTAGAAGGTTCCACGGAGTGATTTTTGCATGTTCTCTGCTGTTTCTGCTAAAAATAATGCGAGGGTTGGAGGTAGTTCTTAAAAAAGTTAGGCATGTGTTTGAAAAATGTGTAGAGGTGGTGGTTCTCTCAAGAAATGAAAAAAAAGAAGAAAAAATGGATGAAAGCTAAAGAGAGCCACTACAAAAAATCTGAATCATGCTCATTAAGTAGTGTTTCTTAGCAGTCTGGCTTAGAAATTCTAACATTATTGTGACCTCCTTCGCTCTTGTGCTCTAAAGAATTTGAGTAATGCAGAATGGCAGAAAGAAAATAAGTGGGTTGATTGGCTGTGAATGTGTTGGGTTTGGAACTGTGGAACCTTGTGCTATGAATACTTCCACCACCTAAAAGGCCTTTTCCCCATGTCCAAGACCCTAGCCAGTCATTTGAACCTGTATCTAAGACCTCCGGATTAGTTAGCGATGACACCCATTTATGTGAACTCTAACATTTAGAGGCTTCCGTCATGGTAAAGAGACATTAGAGATTGAGAGAATAAGTATGCACATTTTTCACATCAAATTGTCCTGACCCAACTGGTCGAGAGTGAGCGCTTCATTTCCTTGTTCTTTACACTCTTTACCCCAGTGAGGACCTAGATGGCTCGGTCTTAATTCTGATGTCTTGAGTTTTATGCATGACCTGACTGTCTTGAATAAGTGGTTGAGTCAAGTCTGGGTTGGTTGGTGAACAGAAGGGAGACTCTTCCTTTACCCGATTTTGCTACACTCGAATGTCCTTTGTGGTGGTCGTCTAGGTTGCTGTTGAAGTTGTTCATGTGTTGATGTCTAAAAGCCAGTATGATTCTTGTGTTTCGTGCCTATATGATATGTCCCCAAGGGTTGCATGATTGAAATGTGTTGAGCTTTCCTTGTATCTGACTTGGTTTGCTTGGGTACAAGCAAACGGTTAAGTGTGGGGGAATTTGATAACGTCGTATTTGCACATGTTTGCACCCTTGTTTCCTGACCATTTTAGCTAGAATTTGTGGTTCCTTGGCCTATTTTACTCTAGTTTGTGTTGTTTTGTCATATTTCAGGTCCTAGCATGTAAATTGAGGCAAAGGCGCAAGTTTAAAGTCAATCGGAATTCATTTGGCAATTCGGGAGAAGAAACACGAGCATGACCTGAGGAATAATGGACTTATAACTCCTATTATGGACAAATAATCATGGAAGTTTTTCATGAAAATAAAGAGGACGAGACTACGAGCGTCTGGGATCATACGGCGACTGATTCGGAGTCCGGACGAGGGAGAAACGAAGCATTAAACAGGAGCGGAGGAAGAAATACGGGCATCCCCTGCCCAATTAGGGCGTAGTTGCCTCTGCCCTGACCGTAAATGCAATGCCGAGCCAAATCCCTGAGAACGCCTTCGAAGATCAAATTACGGGCAAGAGCAAAATGAACTACGGTCGTAATTCCACAAGTACTGGCAGTAATTGGGTAATTACGACCGTAATTCCTCTCATCAGTGTTAAGTGAAACGCGCGTTTTGGGTGAAATATGGGCAGGCCATGTTTACGACCGTAATTCAGCCCATATTTCGCCCATAATTGGGTTTTTGAGGCAGATTCGAGCCAAAGGATAGAGAATTGATTTTTCAAACAAAAAACAGAGCTTTAGAGAGAGAAAGTGCGAAGAACAAACCCTATGAGCTATTTGGAATGGATTTCTACCATTGAAGCCCAGATTGCATCCCTAGGAGTGAAGATCGACATCCCAGAGCAGATTATCCTCATCTTTATGAGTATGGCTACTCTAATTTCTGTTTTCCTCTCTCTCTCTCTATGGAGTAGAACTTTCTCTCACTTGGGTATGAAGAACCCTAGTTCCATGTGTTAGGGATCTTGACTGTAATGACATTTGGATTTATATACTGCTTGATTATAATCGATTGAAGCATGATTCATTGAGTCAATTGAAGCCTGATCAACTTTTCTTGATTTCTGCTGCAACCTGAGATAGATAGAATCTGATTAGGTTGTTAGAGCTTCATCAATCGGTAGTGGTAGATTGATTATACGAGAGTTAATCGATTTACTGCTTTGTACTGGAATCCAATTCCAGTAGAGGAGTTCTGTGTTCATAGCCTCAGCTTTCTATCCCGGTGAAGACTAGTCGTCTGCGGGGTAGTTGGTCCCAGTTTGGTGTTGTGTTTTAGCGTGTCAAGAACCTTCACCAAGGAAACTTATGACTATTAGCCTACGAACTCTAACCATGGAGGCTCAGTTCGACTCCAACCAAACATAAATTTTGTTTCATTCTCGTTGTCTTGTTGCAGGAAAAGTGTTGTCCGTGATCATGGACGGAGGCAGTTGTGTCAACGTCATCAGCCAGGACGCAGTGGACAAGCTTGGATTGAAGATTACGAAGGATCCAGTGCCGTATAAGTTACATTCGCTCAACGATTACGGCGCTGTGCGAGTGACCGGTCAAGCTAAGGTCAAGTTTGAAATCGGAGCTTATCACGACGAGCTTGAGTTCGATGTAGTCCCGATGCAAGCAGCTCACTTGTTGCTAGGGAGGCCCTGGCAATTCGACTTGCAGTAAGACATGACGAGCCCACTCGACCAAAGATCGCGTCTATTGGATGGAGCATTTGAGAATGATTCGAGACAAAATGGCATTGCAGAAATCATTAGAAATTGATGTCCGAAGATCTAGGCATCTTCAATTGCGGCCGGAAATGTCTGTGGGAGAAATGCCCAAATCTATTGTAGAGCTTCTGGTTTCTGCAAATTTGAACTTCAACAATGGCGGGAAACAAAGAAGTGTGAATTCGACAGCAAAGGCGACAAGTCGAAGCTTGGAACTGGTCGAGAACTTCAATTCGACGTCAGGTGAAGCTAATGGTGACCTTGAATTGCACTGTAGATCCCGATTTTGTACTTGAAGAACATTGACCTAATTTCCCAGAATTGTGAGTTCGAGCAGCTACATTCAAATCCAATTTGGGATCAATTCTACGACAGGTTCGAGCAGAAGAAGGGTCACGTGTTGAGGACAACACTTTTTAAAGAGGTGGGGCATATATGATCCCAAATGGCCTCCTCTACAAGTCACCATTGCTTGTTCAAGAAGTTATATCAAGATATGGCCAGAGCCCTGAAAATTGGGAAAAAATCCAAAACTACCACTGTTTAAAAAAAATTACAAAAATACCACCCATTCCCAACAATTTCCAAAAATACCATCGTTTATTTAAAACCGCGCCTCTAAAGAGTGGTTTTAAATGAAACCGCACCTCCTAACAGCTGTTTGCAATATAACCGCCTAGCCAAGAGGCGTTTTTAATTTCCATAAAAAACGCTTCTGGAAGGCGCGGTTATATACTAACCCTACCACAAAACGCTTCAAGAGGGAGCGTTTAAATGTCTGCATTATAAACCGCCCCACGAGGCGGCGGTTTACCATGTCCAGACATAAACCGCTGCCCCAAGGCGTGGTTTGTGCCTGGTCACCCGACAACAAACATGTCGGCATGCAGGGGGTGGGGCTTCATGGTAGACCTAAAACCGCTCCCCCCCCCCCGGTTTTGCTGCAAAATTTGCCTATAAAAGACTGTTTCAGAGAACTCAAATTCTTCACACTCCTCCTCTTCCTTCTTCAAATTTCAGCTTTGCACCTTTAAATTATTTAGTTTTTGCGATTAACGTTAATTCGTAAGTTTGTTTTGTATTACTTTTCATTGTCTTTTGTGATTTTATGTTTGTAACTTAATTACTTTTCATTGTCCTTTGTGATTTTATGTTAGTAACTTAATTACTTGTCATTGTCCTTTGTGATTTTATGTTAGTAACTTGTATTACTTTTCATTGCAGATGGCATTCCAAAGGTTCACGCTTGCGTTGCGGTGGAATGGTTACACGGAAGAGACCGAAAAAGGTGTAAGTTACGTCGGTGGCAATTTTTATAAAATGAAGGTTCGTACGAGACTGATGCTTGAAGAGCTCCATCAAATGTGCACTCAGATTACCTGCATGGATGGCACTAGAAGAGTTGATCAAATGGTGTATCGATATCCAAACAAACATGACGGGTCGCTGTGGAATGAGGAATTCCTCCTTACCACTCAAGAGGACGTTGATGCCATGGTCCAATTTTTGACCACCAATAAAATTAAGCAAGCGGAGATGTTCGTTTACACCCAAGGCCGTCGAAGGCAGTGTATGTCATTATGGAGATGGCCAAACATCTGGTATCCACGGTGGGAGTGTATTATACAAAGATCATCCCCGCTAGGATTTCCAAGACTCGAGCTGGAGGCAGGAGTATCATCATGGAACTGGAGGAAGTCATCAATCCTTCCCTTCATATGAAGAAGAAGCTCAACATGCGGATCACAACCAACAAGCAGGCTACCAGTACTCCTCTGAGTACAACTTCTATCAAAGCGGTGTTAGTTACCACAACTACCATTACGGAGGTGGTGAAGGTGAAGGTGCCTTTCATGATGATAATCAGATGGAAGAAGAGTTCAATCCAAGTCCAGTTAGTGACCTTGAGGGTGAAGAAGAGGAAGGCGAAGTTAGTGCAGACAGCTTCGATCCGCTGGAAGGTGCTAATGATTCTGGTCCAGATTCAGACGCAGATGGTGATGAGGTACCTCGCGACCGTGTACCTATTCCATACTACAATCACATTCAAAATGAAGATTGGTATGTTGATGCCGACATGGACCCGCCAGATGTGCCAGTATGGGGTCCACTCACTGGCTTTACGAAGGGCCAACAATTTGCAACGAAGAATGAGGTCCGACACGCGATTTCCACTGAAGCAATGACTTGGAGTTTTGAATGGCAAACAACCCATTTCGACACAAAGAGGCTGATGGTTCGATGCAAAAATGAAAATGAGGGATCAAATCTAGGGTCCGGGCCATCAAGAGAGTCGCCCATTGGGTCATACCCCGTGCGGTGAACACACACATGTGTGTTATCAATAAAATCCCAAGGCCATCTACAGTTGAAATCAAGGGTGGTTGCCGCGGCTATCAAACATCTAATTGAGGAGCAGCCCGACCTGAAGGTGAAAACCATCATCGCCCACATTTCTAGTCGTTATGGTTATATCATTAACTACAAGAAAGCGTGGCATGGGAAGCAGAAAGCAATGGCTGCCGTGTTTGGTGACTGGGAAGAATCATATGTATTCCTTCCCAAATTGATTTTGGCGTTGGAGGTGTCTAACCCTGGCACCATTTTCTCGCCTCGCTACCAAGATGAAGAAATTCAACCGTTGGTGCCTGGTAACAAACGCCAATTCAAGCGTCTTTTCTGGGCATTCAAGCCATGTATTGATGGTTTTCCATACTGTGTTCCTCTGATCAAGTTGATGGAACATTCCTTACCGGCAAGTACAAGGGTACTCTACTGATCGCCAGCGGAGCAGATGCAAATAGATTAGTATATCTATTAGCCTTTGCCATTGTGGAGGGAGAGAATACCGATAGCTATGGATGGTTCTTCAGACAAATTCAGGTCCATGTCACCAGGCGGACAAACCTGACTATCATCTCAGATCGCCACGCCGGTATACGGGCTGCTATCTTAGGCTTGGATCCAGCCTGGAACTGGTCACATAGATGGTGCATACGGTATTTCAAGAGAAACTGGAACCATCATTTCAAGCGAAAGAAGCTTGCTGACATTCTATGGTGGATCGGTAAGCGTTCTAATTAATTGTTATATAAATTTTTTTAACTGTATAAATCGAGGACTAAATCAATACAATACAACGCTTATTTAGACTCTTTATAAAGAAATGCACGTCTAAGGAAATGGGGACTTAAGCGATCATCCTGATCCCCCCCATGACCTGGGAAAATTGGGTTCTAAGTGATCCTCGGATCCCCCCTTTTTCTGTCAAAAAGACTGTGTTTCTAAGGAGATGTATACCTCTCCTAAGAGTCTTACGAGTGTACTTGTATTGAAAATAAGGTTGATCTTGCTTACCTTACATTTTTTTTATATTCATCAGCTGTCGCGTACCAAGAGAAGAAATTTAAAGAGAAGATGCAGAATATCCGTCAGATATGCCCTAAAGATGCACAGTGGCTTGATCAACATGACCTTGAAATGTGGACGTTTCATAAGGACGGAGGTACCAGATGGGGTATTGCCACAACAAACTCAAGCGAGAGTATCAACAACGTCTACAGGGAATGTTGTGCACTCCCCATCTCTACAATTGTTGAGATGACATTCTGGAAAACAAACGAATAGTTCGTCAACCGTCTCCACTGGTGTGAGAAGAGGGAGGCACAGGGTAAGGTACACTCCGATTATGCCACAAAAATAATGGAAAAAGATAATCGGAAGAGATCTCGTCACACAGTCACTGTGATGAACCGAAATGTTGGCGAGTATTCGGTCGAGACTGGGCACTGGGATTATGGGATACGTGGGGGTCATCGCCATGAAGTCACCGTCAACTTTAGGAGTAAAAAGGGGGAGTGCTCTTGTCAGAATTATCAGGGTAGAGGGATACCATGTTCTCATGCAATGGTTGTAATAAAGCACAGGAGCAAAGACCCTCGTCATTTTGTCAGTCCGTTCTTCAACATTGACTCACAAAAGAGCAGTTATCGTACTAGTTTTCGTGCATTGTCGGATGAAGCTTACTGGCCAGTTTATGAGGGTATGGTCATCATTCCACCAATCGGTCTTAGGCCGGAAACAGGGCACCCGCGGGTAAAAAGGATTCCAAATGAAATGGATCAAAGTGGAAGACCACCGCGAGGGCCAAGGCGGTGTTCCATATGCAAAGTACCCGGTCATGATAAACGAAAATGTCCCGGACCAATTGGTCCTCAAAATGCAGGGCCCGATGTGGTGAATTCGGATAATGGCGCTTAGATTGATTTCATGCGTTTGTTCCATCTTTGTGTATTAATTTCAATGGTTACTCTACTTGTATTTTGTGTGCTTAAATGACATTGGAGATTTGCACAATTAACAAACTTTGGTGCAATTTTCCATCTTTTTGAATAAAACACATCACAAACACACTACATGAAAAACTAAAAAATAACATCAACTAAAAACACCATTGTTCAACTTAATTTAAACAAAACATAACTTGAAATAAACACAACTTGTCACACTAATGCATTATTTCGACGATTTGCCCTCTGTTTCCTTGTGCGATGGGCGACTGGTCCACCGGGTGTAGCTGATGGTGGAACGGGTGGCAGATTCCTATTCGCCGTAGAAGGGAGATCCTCCGTGCTATGCCGCCTCGGTTCCGTGGTAGGTGGCCCCTCCGTCTGCGGTCGAGGGCTATCCACGCTCATACGGTGGGGAGTGGACTGCCATTGTTGTTGCCATTGTTCATATTGGAAACTGGGCCGGAGATTGTATTGGAAACTCGATCTGATCATACTGGCTTCCTGGCATGGGATCGTAGTGAAAACTCGACCGGGGATCATACTGAGTACTCCCCCCTTCACCGCTGCACACCACCAAAGGAGTAGGCGCCTTCCACGCCGCAATCGGCTTGATCTCTAGCACGTGAGGTCGATCCCTTGTAGCTTTGTTTGGCCTTCTATGGACCGGCGGAGGCATATGGTCAACATCCTCCGTCACCGGTGGTGGTCTCACTGGGGGAACTGGAGGGTATCTATGATGGTCACGCCCGAGCCCTCGCATACAGCCAAGGAGATTGTTCGCTATCCTTCGAATGAGCCCCACCTCTCGACCCGTGGCCGAATGATCTGTCGTCCGCGCGAGGTCGTGTATTCGCTCGATGCCATCAACCTAAATCGAAGAAAATAACAACGTGAGCCATTTAAAAAATAATGCACTGCATGACTAAATAAATAAAAACTGAATTACTTACCAAAGCTCCGTCCGCCGCACCTTCGGGGGTCATGTAACGAACAGATTGTCTTCG